ATCAATCTGTTAAGTGAGTCACTGTCATTCTGTTAATGGCCAGGCCAGGTGGATGGTGTTTCTATGATCACTAGTACTGGTACATAAGTTCTGGGATTTATTTTTGGTGACATATAGAAACTTCTTTGAAATATATTCATTTTAGTTTAATTGTAGGGGCATTTGAATATCTATTCAGCCTAAGTAAATACTATCAAATAGTTTTCCAAAATGTTTGTACCAATTTTAACACCTACTGGCAGCGAATAAGATTCCAGTTTTATCCATATTTTTGACAAAACTTAGTTCCTAACATTTTTATTTTAGATTCTTAGTTGGTGTATGATGATACCACATACTGCTGGTGTTTTCCCCATATTTCTTTTTCATTAAATGTCTGGTTTGGCTGGGCACCTGTAGCTCAATGATTATAGAGTGCCAGCTGGGTGCACCAGGCCTGGTGGGTTTGAACCTGGCCCAGGCTTGCTAAACAAAAAAATATATATATACAAATAAATGTCTGGGTTTTTTGAAGTTCATGTTGATATGGTTTGCCTATAACACACATTATCTCTCACTCTCTCTCCTTTTTGATGAAAACCAGCTCTTAAGTTAGTATGGTCTAATTTGTTCTTACACCCACATGGTTAGTATATTTTCTGCTGTTTTAGAAACATTTTCTTTTTTAGAAAGAAAACATTTGAGAAAGACAGATATTATTTTTATGATTCTAAAAATTGCATTACTTATCTCTAAAATTTAGGTTAGCAATCCACTTAGAATTGATATATTGTATGGTGTTGATAGTGCCTGAAGTTTGTCATTTTATTCTCATCTGACTAGAAAATATTAGTTTATTTTGAAACTGGAGGGTTATGCTTTTGTAAAATCTTCTCTCACTTTTCATTGCTTTCCCCAGGTTAACATTTCCTCATCCTTAGTGTTGACTTCTATGAAATACACTCTCCATCTCTACTCGCCCTACTGATAGCTTTGCCAATCCCAAGGGAGCACACAGTGAAAGTTACTGTTAATGTCAAAAATCTAATATAATAGAGGCTATTTTTGCTCAGGAATAATGAATTGTTACAATTCAAAGGGAAATGTGCTGAATCATAGAGTGGCCTCTAGGGAGTTGGCAATGGTAATAATTTCGTTAACACAGACTATACTTGGAATCCTGGGGAATTGCTCTCTTTTTACTATTATGTCATCCTTTACTATAGCAAAAGCAGGCTGAAGTCTGCAGACCTAGTTCTCATTCACCTCATTGTAGCCAACTTCTTGGTCATTCTCTCTAAAGGAGTTCCCCAGACAATGGCAGCTTTGGGGTTGAAAAATTTCTTCAGTGATTTTTGGATGCATACTTCTTCTGTATGTTCAGAGAGTAGACAGGGGTGTGTCCTTGGTATGACCTGCCTTTTGAGTTCTTCCAGGCCATTATGATCAGCCTCATGAACTCCAGGTGGAAAGATATGAAAATAAAAGCAGCAAAGTACATAAGTTACTGCATTCTCTTCTGCTGGATCCTGAACATGATAGTAAATTTGATCTTTCCTATATACGTGTTTGTCAAAAGAGGCAACAAAAACATCACAGAGAAAAGAGATTTTGGATACTTTTCTAGTATAGGTTATGAGAAAATCACTGACTCACTATATACAGCATTATTTACCTTTGGCTCCATGATTTTCACTCTGTACAGGCACAAGCTACAAGTCCAGCATATGCAGAGAACTATTGTGTCCTCAAGATCCTGCCCTGAGTCCAAAGCCACTCAAAGCATCCTTGCCCTCATGAGCATCTTTGTATCATTTTTCACTCTTTGATCTTTCATGCTTGTATTGTTCTTTCACATAATCCCAGCTGGTGGTTAGTGAACACTGCTCCCCTAATTGCTGTATAAGTTTTCCAACTGCCTGCCCCTTTGTTCTCATGAACCGTGGCCCCACCTTTTCCAAGCTTTGCTTTCTCTCGATAAGAAATACAAAATCTCAGGCTGAGAGATCACACCTGTAATTCTGGAAGACTTGAGATGGCCGGATTGCTTGAGCTCTGGAGTTAAGAGACCAGCCTGAGCAACAGCAAGACCCCATCTCTAGTAAAAATGGAAAAACCAGCGAAGCATGATGGTGGGTGCCTGTAGCCCAGCTACTTGGGAGGCTGAGGCTAGAGGACTGCTTGAGTCTAAGAGTTTGAGGTTGCTGTGAGCTATGGTGATGCTGCAGCATTCTAGCCAGGGTGACAGAGTAAGACTGTCTCAAAAAAAAAAAAAAAAAGCCCCAAATATCTAGTCCCAGCTACTTGGCAGGCAGAGGCAGTAGGATTGCTTGAGCACAGTTCAGCACTGCAGGTCACTATGACTGTGCCTGTGACTAGCCACCACTCTCTAGCCTTAGCAACAGAGTGTTCAACCTTATATCTAGAAATAAACCCCCAATCTTATCATAACTGTGCAATTTTGTGGTGGTTTTGCACAACATTCAGTTGTTTAGTCGCTTAACCACCATTGAAATATCAACACAGAAATGTAAGGAGGGGCTACATGTCTTTATCAAATAGCCCATAATGAATATTGAAGTTTCTGGGACCTGCATTGGCATATGAAAGTTGAATGAAGCAGGTCCTTCTCATCTCAATGTACAATGTCCTGTTGATAATAACCTTAGATAAATGTTGCTTGAGGCAAATTGGATGGATATCGCAGTTTCAACAAGCCAGGTGAGGTGGCTCACACCTGTAATCCCAGCACACTGAGAGGCCAAAGTGAGAGGATTGCTTGAGCTCAGGAGGTCAAGACTAGCTTGAGCAAGACTGAGACACCATCTCTCCTAAAAATAGAAAAAAAACTAGTTGGGTGCTGTGGCAGGCATCTGTAGTCTCAGCTACTCAGGAGGCTGAGGAAGGAGGATTGCTTAAACCCAGGAGTTTGGGGTTGCTGTGAGCTATGATGATTCTATGGCACTTTACCTAGTGAGACTCTCAAAAAAAAAAAAAATTCCCCAAATAGGGAATTATTCAATAACTCAGGATTTCTATTGAAATCTGAAGATAGCCATGGCAAGGCAAATTTCCACTTCTTTTCCTATGAGCAAGACATACTGCTTTGGATAGTATGTCCTTATGGGATTAAGTTAGAGAACTTCAGATAAAGAAGGCCAAGAGTCTCAGTCCTAGGACAGTGGGAAGAATAAGGAAGATAAAAGAATTTACATGTCTCAATTCAGCAAGTTACAGAGGATCTGGCATCTTTGAAATGGTAACTGTGGTGGGTGACAGATCTGTGGACAAATGTAAGGAGTTATATTGGAGCATCTCACAAGGAACTCACCTCGTCCCATCTCCCACCTGTTATACTTTTCCTCTATTTTTAGCAACTAAGGTTCTTACTGCCTCTGAGTTCTACTTACTCTACTTTTCCTTTTCTTCTCTGCCCCTTTTGTATTTAGTTATTATGTCTCTAATCACACATTAAAGAAATTTTGGTTGACAATACAGTTTTTTTTTTTTCTTTTACTGTTTTTGGCTGTGAGCCAGGTTTGAACCTGCCACCTCCAGTATGTGGGGCCAGTGCCCTACTCCTTTGAGCCACAGGCACTGCCCTCTTTTGTTTTTTTTTTTGAAACAGAGCCTCAAGCTGTCACCCAGGGTAGAATGCTGTGGCATCACAGTTCACAGCAACCTCCAACTCCTGGGCTCAAGCAATTCTCCTGCCTCTGCCTCCCAAGTAGCTGGGACTACAGGTGTCCACCACAATGCCCAGCTATTTTTTGGTTGCAGCCGTGATTGTTGTTTGGCAGGCCTAGGCTGGATTCAAACCTGCCAGCTCAGGTGTATGTGGCTGGTCCCTCAGCCATTTGAGCCACAGGTGCTGAGCCAACAATTCAGTTCTTTACATTTCTCATTCCCTTCAATGATGAAATATATTTGACTAACACATTAGTTCATTCATTCAGTTTCCAAATCAACATATCATTACTTTTTTCTGTGTTGGGAAATTTAAAATCATGTAAACCAATTCTCTAACATAACTTTTTGGGACATTGAAGTGATGATAGAGATTACTCCTTCTCTCAAAAAAGTTCTGCTTGTTGTGCTGTCCGATCTGGTAGCCATGACTCACATATGGCTATTGAGCACTTGGGACATGGCTAGTGCAACTAAGTTCTTTTAAATTTTGTTTTCAATTTTTCAAGAACTTTAAGTAGCCATAAAAATTATCAAGGACTTTGTAATCTCTTGGAGAGATAAGACACAAGCATTAAAAAAACAAAACAAAACAAAACTTGACTGGACTCAGTGCTCACACTATAATCTTAGCACACTATAATCTAAGCACCTACCTTAGCCAAGGTAGGTGAATTGCTTGGTCACGAGTTTGAGACCAGCCTAAGCAAGAGCAAGACCCCGTTTCTACTAAAAATATAAAAACTAGCTCGGTGTTGTGGTTGGTGCCAGTACTCACAGCTACACGGGGGGGGGGGGGGGGCTTAGGCAAGAGGATCCCTTGAGACCAAGTGTTTGAGTTGCTATGAGGTATAACACCATGGCAGTCTCGCCCAGGTTGACAGTGAGATTCCAACTCAAGAAACCCCAAAAAATAAAAATAGAAAAATAAAACTTGTTTTCTCAGGTGCTTAGGTACCCTTACAAGTAGTCCTTCCCTCAACCCTTAAAATACTATGTTCCCTAAACAATAAATTATATCCCTTTTACTCTGTGTTAAATAAATAAAGTTCTAAAAGTGGGTCCTGATTTTCAGTTCATCCTGCATGCTGCTCTGGGAAAACTGCATTAATATGAACTAACATATATGTACCCTATATCCCACCAATTAAATATTAACCCATTCCCCACTAACCACCCCTTCTGTGGCTTGTCATTCATAGAAGTATATTCTAGATCCTGATTAGCTTATCTGTATTTAAAAATTCAGAGTACTTATTTCCTCCACTTAAAAGAATTCAGGCTTCCTTCACTCATTTAGTTGCCACAATTGAGCAGTTACTGTGTATGTGTTGGGGTTAACATCAGATTCTGCCTCTGTATTAAAGCACATATTTAGATGAGTTTATGAGGCCTTCCCAGCCTCTGCATTTATTTGTTTTCTCTCAATATATACTTTTCTGCCATATAGTGAACTAGAAATTTCTGCTCAACCCTTTTCTACGTAGATTATATCTCAGTGTTTTTCCTGTGTGTTTTCTGTGACATAAAATAAGACATAATTGATCACTGGAGGCATGACCACATTTACTGCATTCCCAACATTTCTCTCCTGTGCAAATCCTCTGTTATCTCCTGAGGGCACACATCTGGCCACAGGCTGTCCCATGATGACTACATTCCTATTTGCTAGGCCACTGATGTTTAAGGATGTCTGAGGGGCCAAAGAAGGCACTTGTGTGGCCACCATGTTAGCAGGGTTTTTTTCCTTCATGACATCACTGGTATGTAAAGAGCTGTGGCTCTCTATAAGAGGGATTTCCACCTTGACTGAATCTTGTTTCTCCCTTGTGTGTATTCTCTTATGCTTAACGAGGCAAGACATGTACGCAAAGGCTTTCCCACACTCATTGCAGGCATAGGGTCTCTCTCCTGTATGAGTTCTTTGATGCACAATGAGCTTTTGCTTTGTTGTAAAGGCTTTTCCACATTCACTGCATTGAAAAGGTTTCTCTCCTGTGTGAATTCTTTGATGTTTAATGAGGCCTGACTTCTGTGAACAGGATTTTCCACATTCACTGCACACAAAGGGCGTCTTTCCTGTGTGAAATCTCTGATGGGCTATGAGGCATGTCTTCTGAATGAAGCCTTTCCCACATTCACTGCATATATAAGGTTTTTCACCTGTATGAATTCGCTGATGTACAATGAGATTTCCTTTTTGGATGAAGCCCTTTCCACAGTCACTGCATATGTAGGGTTTTTCTCCTGTGTGTGTTTTCTGGTGTATGTTAAGGCGTGATTTCTTGAGAAAGGCTTTGCCACATTCAGAGCATTCATATGGTTTTTCTCCTGTATGTGTTCTCTGATGTTCAGTGAGCATGAACTTTCTGGAGAAGGCTTTCCCACAGAGACCACATCTATGGGGTTTTTCTCCTGTATGAATGATCTGGTGATCAGTAAGCCAAGACTTTTTGACAAAGGCTTTCCCACATTCACTGCACACATGAGGCTTCTCTATTTTTTGAGTTTTCTGATGCTTGGGAGTAATGACTTGGGACTTAGTACTGATAAGTTTTTGACTTGCAGGGAATTTACTTTCAGTATGAAATTTTTCATCATTGGCATGGAGATAGGATCCCCCATTTTTGATGAATTCAGGATTCTTTAGTTCATAACTTCTGTTCTGATTAACTAAAGTTGAATTTGATTTTATACTTTTTCCATTTAAGTCAAATAGATGATGATTTTGCCTTAACAGAAACTGAGTTTTATTCTGATGAATGATATTTTCAAATGCATTATGTCCACGCCATGGTTTTACTCTGTTTATCATGCTTTCATTTCGTAAGTGCTCTGGCAAATAACCATCAACTCTCCCAATTTCTAGAAAGAAAAAGACAATGAGTTTTCTATGACCTTGATTTGGAATAAAGATATTTTTTATTTTTTAAAAAGCTACCATGATGTGAGATGTCTCTTCAGTGCTAACCCTAAGAAGTGAATGTAAATAAAACTCCATATCTAATGTTCCCTCCATGGTGAAAGAAAATAATAACATAAACAAAAGGCAAAAGCAGTCAGTGTAAAAACAAGGTTAGATAATTCATATTGAATAAATACAGACTTTTTTTTTTTTTTTTTTGAGACAGTCTTATTCTGGTGCTCTGGGTAGAGTGCCATGGCATCATAGTTCACAGCAACCTCAAACTCCAGGTGATCCTCAAGTGATCCTCCGTGAGCTGAGATTACAGGCACCTGCCATGATCCCTAGCTAGTTTTTCCATTTTTAGTAGAGACAGAATCTTGTTCTTGCTCAGGCTAGTCTCAAACTCCTGAGCTCAAGCAATCTACTCAACTCGGCCTCCCACAGTGCTAGGATTATAGGCGTGAGCCACTGCACTTGGCCATAAATATAGATTTGACTACTTTCTAAATAAGAAAAACATGCAAAGATTGTAAAACACAAACCCTTCACTGTGAGCAGCAGACAAGAGGTTGGAGGACCACTTTATCCAGAGGCACAGGTGCACTCATTTCACAAATCCTTACTGAGCGACTGCTATGTACCAGGCATGATGCTAGTGTTGGGGACATACAGACATAATTCCTTATGTTTGTGAAGCCAATGTTATAGTTTAGTAAAACCACTTAAAAGAATAAGCATAGGCATAAGAAAAGCAGCAGCAGATTATAAAAAGTTGTTTGAAGGCACCATGGTGATGAAATGGAAGAAATCAAGTTACCTTTTAGAAAACAGAGCTCACTGACATTCACTGTTACAACTGGTATGAGGGAAATAAAAAAAAATGAGGACATAGGGAACGTGCTTAATATTTGGCTTGAGCCACTGGGGTAGTCATGCATTTTAATGAGATAAGGAAAACCACTGAAGGACGGAAGAGGGAATCAAGTGTGCATGCTGAAGCATATTGACTCTAAGGCAGTCATTACATATCCAAGTCTTAATAATACATAAATCTTGTAAAAAGTCTTGACTGAAGACATCAATTTAGAAAACTTTAGTTAAATACTAGTTAGGGACAAAAAATAGGAGATCACATTCAGAACTAGTTAGGGACAAAGAATAGGAGATCACATTCAGAAAATGTAGATTAAATTAAAGATGAAGGCACAAGGCCAAGATTTCAGTCAAACTATCATTTAAAGTTTGGAAACAGGCTGGGCACAGTGGTTCACGCCTTTAATCCTAGCACTTGGGGAGGCCAAGGCAGGGGGATTACTCAGGAGTTGGAGACTGGTCTAAACAAGAGCGAGACCAGGCTCAGCGTCTATAGCTCAACTGGCTAAGGCGCCAGCCATGTACACCTAAGGTGGCGGGTTCGAATCCCCAGCCCGGACCCGCCAAACAACAATGACAGCTGCAACCAAAAAATAGCTGGGCGTTGTGGCGGGTGCCTGTAGTCCCAGCTACTTGGGAGATGGAGGCAGGAGACTCGCTTGAGCCCAGGAGTTGGAGGTTGCTGTGAGCGTAATGCCATGGCACTCTGCCCAGGGGGATAGCTTGAGGCTCCTCATCAAAAAAAAAAAAAAAAAAGAAGAGCGAGACCCCATCTCTACTAAAAATAGAAAAACTAGACAGATGTTGTGGCTGGTGCCAGTAGTCCCAGCTACTCAGGAAGCTGAGGCATGAGAATCACTTGAGCTCAGGAGTTGGAAGTTGCTGTGAACTATGACAATGCTACAGAACTCTACCCAGGGTGACAGAGTGAGATCTGTCTCAAAAACAAAACAAAACAAACAAACAAAAAGAAACACAGTTTTCTCTTTAGAGAGAGACTAGGAAGGTGGAATTTCATATCAAGGGAGGTGAAAATGAATGAAGAAAGGAAATACTTGGGAAGAAGAAAAATATGCAAGCAAACAGAAAAAAAAAGTTGTATAGCAAATAAAGAGGGATCAGATGTCAGAAGAAGAAACAAAGAGATGTATTTTGGGGTTTCAGCCCCTTCGTAGCTATGATGCCTTCTTTGACTGATTAGAATGTGACCTACATTCTAACGCACCCCCCCCCCTCACCTGAACGGGCTGCACAGTGGATTTCATCTTCTCTAGTCCATTGTGGTTCTCCTTGTTTCAACTTAGAGAGTGCATCTGGCTTGCTGGCTTCACATCCTGTTCATGGGAAATGACAGATGACTTAGACACAATGGATTGGGCTTGTGGGGGCGGTCTATCTGTAAAGACCAAAGAATGTTACATTTGAAGACAAAATGATTTTCATACCACAAAGAAAAGCTTTTCTGTCAGAAGAAGGGAAAATATACCCTCTTGTCTGAAACCAGAGGGAACTGAGAGCTACCACCACGTCAGAGCACCACAGACCCATTAGAGCTTTCAGAAGCTGAGAAACAGAGGCCTCTCACAGGCACCCCCTGAGGGACATGAGGCAGCTGTCCTCACCCACTGACACCAGGTTGCTGTAGTTCTCCAACATTACATCCCGATATAGGTCCTTCTGAGCAGGGCCCAGGAGCTGCCACTCCTCCCAGGTGAACTCCACAGCCACATCATCCAGGGTTAGTGATTCCTGAAAACACAGTCTTATTTAATGAAGTGGTGTCCCTTTTGATAACACAGAACTGCTGAAGTTTTTCTGTTCATTTTTACTCTGTTGGTTTGCACCTATATACCTAGTTGGGTTTTTAAAAAAATACCTTGTGGAAGAAGTAAAATCCTAATAAAATATTCTATAATTGTACATTCAGACATCTATCCATTCATCAAATTAGAAATTTCTATAAGGTGTACAGTATAACCTACAACCTACACACATCCTCTCATATACTTTAAATCACCTCTGGATTATCTATAGTACCTAATACAATGTAATCTGTTTCTCCTCAAAACAAGTGCACACCATGCAAACCATAGTTATTCAGTTGTGATTTAGTTGTCACAGATATTAGATGCCAGCTGGCAGCTAATATAACCCACAGGGTCCTCCAGTCACGCATTATGTTCCCCAAATGAGCCATTTAGTGTCAGTCCTATGAATAATTTATTCCTTGTCCTACTTTGCCTTGATGTTAAGTTTAAAGACTAGGTTTATATCTCTCCAGAGACTGTTATTTTACATTTATATTTCTCAAATTAATGGAACTAATGTCTTTATAGGCCTCTACTTATCCATGAGAGAACAAAGTAAAGAATAAAACAATCCAAAGTCAGTTACCTGGGCCTGGATCATTTTCTCCTGATCTTGGAGAGTAGCTAGCACTGTGATGTTCTTTGTATCTTCTAGGTCTGCTCTGCAGCTCTGTGCTTGCCTCCCATCAAGTGCGTCCCCAGAAATACTGAGACCCAAATCTTGTAACTTCTTCCTCCTTCAAGTGACTTTTTTTGCTCCTAATGAGTCAGGACCTATGGCTTGAAGAGAAAATTCAAGTTGACTGGTAAAGTTCCTGTGGCCCAGATACTGCCCCAGCCCTACCTTAACACAGCACCCCCAATACAGTTAACTAGCCCTTTATTTGGTGCCCTGAAAGATTTTATACCTCTAGCCAATAAAGCCTCCAATTCTGAATATGGTAGGGGTCAGCCCTTACTCTGTGAAGCTGAAGTGGAGTGACCAAGAAGCCATGTAGGAAATAAACCCCATCACAGTACTATACCTCAGAAGCAGGTGATTTCTTGGGAAGATTAATCTTACAAAAGAATCCATTTTCAAGGAAGGAGAGGCTCTAGATTTTGTTTTCCTTTAAACTGTGTGTGCTGATATACTTCTACAAAAGTCTTTGTACATTCCTGTTACTATAAGTACTTCAGTTTGAAAATCAATGTACTTGGAAAATCATGAATATTCTCATATAAACAACAGTGATAATATCTTAGGACACTTTAAATACATAAAATATTAAAATATACAACAAAACTATATGAATTAGAAGGTGGTAAATAAAGTTAATGTGTTCTAAGGCCACTGGTGGAAAAGTATAGAAAAGTATTAATTAACATAAAGGTATGACAAAGGTTACATACTACATGTCATTTATAGCCTCACACTTAAAACTAGTAGTTATTTGAAAGTACATTATTTCCATGCTAATAGGTGGGCAAAATGTAATATTAAGAAACTCATCCAAGAGAAGACAAGAGAAGAGAACAAGGAACAAAGAACAAGTGTGGTAAATAAAATACACTTAGGTAACTGTTTTAAAATAAAACATACAAGAATTCCATTAAGTATTATATATTAAGTATAAACAAAACATGAATTCCAGTTAATCTCATAAAGTATAAATGCCTTGAAACTGTCAGACTAGATTAAAAATTAAAACCAAATAACACACAGCTGGGTGCAGTGGTTCACACCTATAAGCCTAGCACTCTTGGAAGGCCAAGGCTGGTGGACTGCTTGAGTTCAGGAGTTTGATACCTGCCTGAGCAAGAGTGAAACCCCATCTCTACTAAAAATATAAAAATTAGCCAGGTAACATGGTGAGACAAGAGGATAACTTGAACCCAGGATGGAGGCTGTATTGAGCTATGAAGCCACTGCACTTTAGCCTGGGCAACACAGTGAGATTCTGTTAAACAAAAACAAAAACAAAACTCCACAAATATATATTTAAAAATTAGTAAGAAATACTGAGATAAGCATCAATAGTTTTAAATAAATGGAAACTGTATTATAAAAATGAGTTAGAAAACAAACATTTAAAAATGTCAGATCTCTCAAATCTATGGAATCAATAAAATCACAACCAAAACCCAAAACGAAAATTAAATGTTCAAATAGCTATAAAAAAGTCAGAAGTCTTGCTCTGTCAGTTATCAGGACTTACAAAAGTACTTTAGTTAGGGAAGTACAACATTAGTACAATAATCCACAAATAGGACAAAGGAACAGAATACGATGCCTATAAACAAAATGAAGCATATGCAGAGAGATTGAGTGATAATCATGGTACTGCAGAGAAGTGAATAAAGGCTGTCTTTGCAATAAACGGGGACAATCTCATATATCTATGTTAGGGGTATGGGGCAGAAGATTAAAAACCACCTCAAGAAAAAAAAAACCAAATCACAACATACACAAAACCATTTGCGGATCAACTGTCAATTCCAATGGGACAATCCAATCAATAAAGCTTTAAAAATATATGGGAATCTTTCAATGTTATTAGAATATGGAAAGATATTTTACATAGGACACATAAAACAAAGTATAAAGCAATTGTATTCTTCTAGAGAAAATGTAACTGGCACAACCACTTTAGAAAACAGCTAGACTTCATCTATTTAGATTGAAGTTATACCCACTCTATGACACAGCTATTTTACTCTGAGATTTACACCTAGGTATGTATCTCCTGCCTTCTCACAAATAAGGACACATTTGAACCAGAAGACACAAACATTTTGATAGTAGCATTATTAATCATAATCTAAGCTGTAGACAATACAAATGTAATCAACAGTAGGAAAAGCAGCTAATCTATACAAGTAATGGAATGTGATATAAAAACCAGTCTTTGGCCCAGGCTGCAAATTAAAGTTTTTAACATTTTTAAAGAACTGCGAAACAAAAACAAAAAACAAAGTAGCACATTCAAGAGACCTTATATAGCCTGCAAATTCTAAAATATCTGCCTGACTCTAACAGAGAAAGAAAATATACCTATGTGCAAAAAACATGAATGTAAGGCCAGGCATGGTGGCTCACATCTGTAATCCTAGCACTCTGGGAGGCTGAGGCTGGCAATCACTTGAGCTCAAGGGTTTGAGACCAGCCTGAGTAAGATTGAGACACTGTCTCTTAAAAAAAAAAAAAAGCTGGGCATTAAGGTCAGTGCTTGCAGCCCCAGCTACTCAGGACGCTGCAGCAAAGGGATAACTTGAGCCCAAGAGTTTGAGGTTGCTGTGATTTATGACACCAAGGCACTCTATCTAGGGAAACAAAGTGAGACTGTCTCAAAAAAAAGAAAAAAACCCAATGTATATTATATAAATGAGCAAAAGCCTGATGCAAAAAAATGAATTATGCTTAATTCATTGATAATAGTTAAAGCCAGAAAAAACTAAATTAACTATAATAATAAGGAGTGATTAATTGCGTGGTAAAATTATAAAGAAAAATCTGAAAGTGCAGGATAGCAATTATATGAGTATAAATATGAGTGTAAAGATAGACAAAGGGTTCTAGAATACCACTAGGGTGCTGGTAGTATTCAATTTCTTGAGCTGGGCAATGATAGTTTATACGTATTACATTGTACATTTTTAAAAATATAAAATTAGAAAAATTAACAAAGAAAAGAGCTCAACAATACCAAAAACCGGCTCGGTGCCCGTAGCACAGTGCTTACGGTGCCAGCCACATATACGGAGGGTGCCAGGTTCGAACCCATCCCAGGCCAGTTGAACGACAATGACAACTGCAACAAAAAATAGCCAGGCGTTGTGGGGGCACCTGTAGTTATAGATACTGGAGATACCTGTAGGCTGAGGCAAGAGAATCACTTGAACCCAGGAGCTTGAGATTGCTGTGAGCTGTGATGCCATGGCACTCTACCAAGGGCGACATAGTGAGACTGTCTCAAAAAAAAAAAAAAAACCCTACTCCATAAAATACACAAATTTGTAATGAAAAAAATCAAGAAAGAGAAGTCACACAAACAAATATAAGGATTTGATAAAAGATGTAACTCAGATAAAACAGATTTTTTTTGTCCATAAAGAACATTATGAACACTTTACACCATTAAATTTAAAATGCTAAGTGAATTTAAAATTTTATGATCCTATTTCCAGGAAAGATGATAACTCTAGATCACACAGCAGATAAATTTTCAGGTAGGAAACAAAACAAGAATGTTTTCCACCCTATTTTCTTAACTTGTACTGCATTGAGCTAAGAATTATAAACATTACAAAGACAGAAAATTAAGGTTATTTTCAGACAGTATCATCATCAACATGAAAAAAAAGACATGCAAAATATGATATATTTTTAAAAAGAAAATGCTCCCTCAGAAACCCCCAGGCAGATTTTCACATACATAGTTGGCTAGAATTGCACCATACTCCTAAACTTATTTTCAGGTCAGAACTAACACTAGCTACTCATGTGTCAAGATGGAAAACAAACAACAACAACAAAGTAGCAATATGAGTTGCATCCACCACGGTTGGCTAAGACCAAAGAGGACTTACTATTACAAAGAACTAAGAGATGGATACTTTAACGAAATGGAGATTGTGAGTCACAGTAAGCTCTCCCTGGTTTACCTCCATGAGCTACATAACTATGTTCAGTGTGAGCCAGGACTTGAGAAATTACAGAAAGCACAGGTTTGCTCTACTCACGTGTAAGTGCCAACTGTGAATATGTGCTAATGGTCAGGGGAAGGAAGAGTGTGAATTTTAGCTCTGGACACGCTTTGCAAGAACCTCCAGCTTGACCTTGAAGAGTAAGTTGGATCTCAGGGGCAAGGGAAGAGGAAAATGCTATTCTTGGAGTTCGAAAGACACAGATCAGCTAACTTTTCTTGAAGGGGCAAATAGAAATAGTTTAGGCTTTGGGGAATACTGTCTCTGAAACAACTGCTCAGTTGTACTCTTGGAGCTCAAAATTAGCCTAGGCAATGCATTAACGAATGGATGTGGTTCTGTTGCAATAAACTTTACAACCCCCCCCCCCAAAAGTGTGAATATTTTTCAGGAGGGCAAGCAACACTGCTACTATATATTAAGAGGTGAACGCAAAGGTCCGCAAACATTTCTACAAAGGAATTGATAGATTTTCAACTTTGCCGGCCATGAAGTCTCTTTCATACTACTCAACTCTGTCCTCTGCAGCTCCATAAACAACACAGAACCCAACCGACGTGGCTAATGTAGCCTCTGGGTCTGTAGCTACCCTGTGCGAGGATGAGAAGTATGGGCACACGGTTTCGAACTAAAGCTGGGGGACTCAGCCTAACCACCAAGGGACCGAGGCCTGGGTTCAGCCCTCACAAACTGACACTTACCGCACGCCCCCTTACTAATCCAAAACCCGCCCTACGCACTTTTAGGCGATGAACATCCTCCCCTACTCCAACATCACTCAGTCCCAAATTAAATCCTGAACCTGAACCAGGCACCTTATGCATAATAAGTACCACCCCATCTCTTACAAGCAGAGTGAGCCGCAAAGATTCCACATCCTGACAGTCCAGACACGGTCGCTGATCTCAACAGACCCGCAATCGCAGTACTGACATCACAGGCACGCAGACCACTGACAGGTGCATCACAGACTCCCACCAGGTACTTCCCAAATACCTCTAGCTGGTGCTCCCTCCCGTCCCCCTGTCGAGAACTACTCTACACCACGTCCACAGACCTCCCTGGCGCTGAGACAAAACCTTCGCTGAGACAAAACATTTCCAGGCACAAGACCCCATACTGACCTGATTGCAGACCCAACAGGTCCGCCTAACTTTTACACTTCCGCGAACCGCTTCCCCTTTTGGACTCCTAGCACAATTTCCGGCCCGCCTACGGCGACCGAAGAGGGTCTTACATATTCGAAGGAGCGCGGCCAAGCACAGTCTTTGAATGTAATATGGCGGAGCCCACCAAGTCGTGGCCCCGCGCGGGCAGCCATGTTTAAATGCCTGACGTACAGAAAACAAAGTGTCAAGTTTGGAAGCCAGCAGGGACTGAGGATGACAAATCGCTGAAACTGCCTTATTTCCTGGCACTTAGACTCTTACGGAAAATGAGCAGATTTTCAGACTCAAGCTTTACAAGGCAAATATGAGTCAGGCTAAATTACGTTTAGCGGGCTGGGCAGAGTAGTAATATGGCTGCTGATTTTATTCGCTTTGTCTAAAAAAAAAAAAAAAAAAAAAGGAAGGTTTCCAAAGGACAAACACACTGGCCGGGTGCGGCTCACGCACGTAATCGTAGCACTCTAGGAGGCCGAGGCGGGTAAATAACTTGAGCTCAGGAGTTAAGACCAGCCTGAGCAAGAGGGAGAACCGTTCTCTACTAAAAATAGAAAAATTAGCTGGGCTTTTTTTTTTCCATGTGGTAGGCACCTATAGTTCCAGCTACTTGGGAGGCTGAGGCAAGAGAATTGCTTGAGCCCAGAGGTTGCAGTGAGCTATGATGACACCACTGCACTCTAAGCTGGAGCGACAGAGTGACACCCTGCCCCACAAAAGGAAAAACAAAAACAAAACTATGATGCAATTGAAGTAGCCAGCTATTAGAATTGCTGAAATGCAAAAAAGGCTGACAATATGAAATGCTGGTGATAAAATGAAGTATGAAGAAGTCTTATTAACCCACAGAAAATGAAAACAAAACAAAAGTACAGTCACAACAGAAGATAGGCAGTTTCTTAAACGTAGGCTTATACAGATGATCCCAATTTGTAGAAAGGCAGCCTCAAGAACATTTTTTTTTTTTTTTTTGAGACAGAGCCTCAAGCTGTCCCCCTGGGTAGAGTGCCGTGGCATTACAGCTCACAGCAACCTCCAACTCCTGGGCTCAAGCGAGTCTCCTGCCTCCGCCTCCCAAGTAGCTGGGACCACAGGCGCCCGCCACAACGCCCGGTTATTTTTTGGTTGCAGCCGTCATTGTTGTTTGGCGGGTCCGGGCTGGGGATTCGAACCCGCCACCTTAGGTGTACCTGGCTGGCGTCCTGAGCTATAGGCGCCGAGCCCTCAAGAACATTTTTAAAAAATAAAACAGTCTCACTGAAGAAAATTTAGGGAAACGGTTTTCACTGAGGCAAACCTTAAAGGAAATATTCAAAAGTAAATTTTGCAGTAAGAGGAACAAAAATCCCATCTTCAATAGTAAAAACACCACTTGATCACCCTTAATTACTCTAAGTTTTATGGGGACAATGAGAAAAGTGGATGTAAGAAGACAAAGGTTTGTTGTTGTTGTTGTTGTTGTTGTTGTTGTTGTTTTAAGACAAAGTTTTTAATAGGAACTTTGAGGACAAATCTGGACTTGAAAGACTGAAAGGAAATACTTCCATGACCATCCAGGCTTTGAACCTTGAAACATCCACTAACTCCAGGCTGTGCATCTCAAAGCCTCCAGCTTCCTCATACTAGCTAGCCCAGTTAACTCCCAGAAAACCCTGCCTTCACGTTCAGTCTGAAGCTCATTACAGAAACACTCTTGCTTAGACCCTCTCTCGCCCTAGATAAGTCTCATATTAAATCGCAAACCTAACCTAATGTTCTTTAATACATACCTTCCACCCACGTTTCTTTTTAAGATTTAAAAAAAAATTTAATTATAAATAAGATAAAAATACTATATACATCACAACTTCCATAAAAACTTAACATAATTTTTTTACGTTCACTACTTGTTTAATCCACCTTTATGATATATATTTTTTTATATGTAATGTTTATTTATTTTCCTCCTTTTTTTATTGTTGGGGATTCATTGAGGGTACAAGAAACCAGGTTACACTGATTGCATTTGTTAGGTAAGGTCCCTCTTACAATTGTGTCTTGCCCCCAAAAGGTGTGGCGCACACCAAGACCCCATCCCCATCCCTCCTTCTCTTTCTCTGCTCCTCCCTTTCCCCACCCCCACTGTGTCATTAATTGTCATTAATTGTCCTCATATCAAAATTGAGTACATAGGATTAATGCTTCTCCATTCTTGTGATGCTTTACTAAGAATAATGTGTTCCACTTCCATCCAGGTTAATACAAAGGCTGCAAAGTCTCCATTTTTTTTAAATGATTGAATGGTATTCCATGGTGTACATATACCACAGCTTCTTAATCCATTCCTGGGTTGGTAGGCTTTTAGGCTGGTTCCACATTTTGGCGATTGTAAACTGAGCTGCAATAAACAGTCTAGTGCAAGTGTCCTTATAGTAAAAGGAATTTTTTCCTTCTGGGTAGATGCCCAGTAAGGGGATTGCCAGATCAAATGGGAGGTCTAGCTTGAGTTCTTTGAGGGTTCTCCATACTTCCTTCCAAAAAGGTTGTATTAGTTTGCAGTCCCACCAGCAGTATAAAAGTGTTCCCTTTTCTCCACATCCACACCAGCATCTGCAGTTTTGAGATTTTGTGATGTGGGCCATTCTCCCTGGGGTTAATGGTATCTCAGGATGGTTTTGATTGGCATTTCTCTATTAGGGATGATAAGCATGTTTTCATATGTTTGTTAGCCATTCATCTGTCTTCTTTAGAGAAGTTTTTATTCATGTCTCTTGCCCATTGATATATGGGATTGTTGACTTTTTTCATGTGGATGAATTTGAGTTCTCTATAGATCCTAGTTATCAAGCTTTTGTCTGATATAAATTATGCAAATATACTTTCCCATTGTGTAGGTTGTCTATTTGCTTTGGTTGTTGTCTCCTTATCTGTACTGAAGCTTTTCAGTTTAATTAAGTCCCATTTGTTTATTTTTGTTGTTGTAATTGCCATGGCAGTCATCTTCATGAAGTCTTTCCCCAGACCAATATCCTCCAGTGTTT